TTTCTGTCGGTGCCTTTTTTGTGTCATTTTCCGTCTTGTTTGCATCATTTGCTGTCGTCTTTATTTCGTTTTGTGTCTCTTTGTGGTTGTTTTTTTTTCCTCCCTTCTTTCATTTTGTGTTTCGTTCCTCTCGTTTCGTGTCACCTCCCTTCTTTCATTTTGTGTTTCGTTCCTCTCGTTTCGTGTCACTTTCTGTCCAGATGTTTCTTCCTTTGCGTCATGTTGTCATTTTGTGAATCCTCTGTTGTGTTTTGTGTCACTTTCGTTTGCGTTGTGAGTCTTGCTTTTGGATATTTTCCCTAAATGTTGGTTCTGCTTCCCTGAAGGCCACTTGGATGGTGCAGCTCGTTTTTTTTCTATTTTAAGGCCTAATAATGAACCTGTGTCCTGCTGGTGGGGCTGGAATCCGTTCTGCTCTCTCCCGAGTCTGAAAACATGAAATTCTCAAGACACAGAAGTTCGTCACCACATTTAAAATCTTTTGAACAGACAGCCGACACGCTGGACGTATAGAAACGATATCTTTAATGTGCTACATCATGTAAATATAAAAGTATCATCAAAATAGTCTCTCACATATAAATTCTGAACATCTCATCACCTGTTTGCAAAAATAAACTACACAAACCGACAAACTGTACAAAAGAAGCAAAAACTACAGAAACCTTGGAAGAAGTTGGTCAATGACTCGGCGGTGAAGTTTAAAGGACGGTTCCTGCTGCTTTTACCAAAGCACACGAACCCGGTTGCATTTTGTTTGTTTGTTTGTTCCAGTGCTTCATAAACAAGCAGAAAGCTGTAAGGTTGTGCTCCTGGTTTGACTTTTTGTTCCCTGAATATGAGGTACGAACGTTTGACATTTGGTTGGAGCTCGTGTTGGCAGTAAAGCTTCGTGTGTGAGGAAGACGACCAGATGATGATCAGAGAAAAGGTGAGCAATGCCTCCGTCTGCTACACATTCACGTCCTCTGGTTGTAATTTTGGCAAATGCTTTTTATTATTATTATTAATATTAGCACACAGTTTCAAGACACCTGATTTTTCCCTTTTTAATCATAAATAAATAAAAATAAACAACGTACGCAGTGCAACGGGACGAATCACACTCTGCAAAACAACGTGTGGACTCAACAAAGTTAAAACGACTTCTCCTGAAGTTAAGTTCAACCAGCAGACGATGCTGAGTCGGAGCAGTTTCTCTTCACTTAAAGGTTTTTTAACAACTTGATCTCAATTTAAATATAAAGCCAATTTTATGAAGTAACCTCAACTTAAATCTATGCAGAAATTTAAAGTACCCACAGTACTGAGCTAATGCAACGTTAGCACGTCAGCAACTCATCAGACGTGATGTTTTCAAAGTTGATTCCAAACAATAAATTAGAACTTCTGTCCTGTGGTTGTTGCATCAGAGTCACGCTGTTGTTTCTGAGTCGATTCGCATTTTTGTTTTTTTGTTTAAATATGAACAGATAGAAAAAAAACACACACACGATAAAAATAAACACTGAACTCTATGAAACAACTAAATAAATATAGACGACTGCGTTCTGTTTAGAAAAGGTAATAAGTTAAAGCAGGACAAAGCCGACAGTTGTCTACCTGAGCGGTTTAAATACTTCACAGCTTCTCGACGTCTCTCTCTGAGTCCTTTAAGTCTTTGGAATGCTTTCATTTTGGTGCTGCGCTCGTCGGATCACTTCCTCGTCACTGTCCTTCCGTTTTCACCCGCTTGTGCAGGTGAACCACGCTGGCTCTCTCCTGATAGGCCAGAGGAGGGCTGTGATGCGGCGGCGGCGGCGGGGCGTTGACGGCGGCCGTCAGCGCCTTGAGCAGCAGCGTGGCCTCCTTCTGGTCCTCCTTGCCCTCGCCCTCCAGCGTGCGGGCCAGCCAGTGCTCCGCGGCCTCGGCCACCTGCGCCGCCGCCGCCGTCTCGGCCAGCGCGTCGGCCTCCTGGCTGGCGTCGAAGCGCTCCACCGTCTCCTTCAGGTGCTGGCTGACGGGGGCGGCGGCCGGGCAGCAGCTGCGCTGGTGGATGCACAGCGAGAAGCGGTGGAAGAAGGCCTGGGCGCACAGCGGGCAGCGGTAGGGCCGGTCGCGGCCGCTGTGCAGCCGGCGGTGCAGCTTGAGGTGGATGTACTGGGTGAACTTGGTGCTGCACAGCTTGCACTGGTACGGCTTCTCCCCCGAGTGCAGCCGCAGGTGGGTCTTCAGGTTGCTGGTGCTGCTGAAGCGCTTGTGACACACCTGGAAGAGGAGAAATAAAAGCTTGTTGAGCGATGCGGCCTCCAGATCTGTTGTTACGGAGAGGCTGCCGTGAGGAGGACGGATCGGGTTTTTCCTGTTTGTGGATTACAGGGACTGTTTACTCTTTGTCCGACGGCACCTTTAACACTCACACCCACACAGTCACACCGCAAACAAAAGTGTGGCGACGCCGTTACATGACGGCGTGGGCTCAGTGAAAGCCACACGGGCGGTGCGTGAGCAGAAAGGTATGTGAGGCAAAGTGCATGCTGGGATCGTCTCCAGAAGCTCATAATAAGAGAACAAACACACAGCAAAGAAAAGAAAGTTTTAAACTGTCCTCCACTGCTCTAACCGGTATTCACAGACAATAACTTTCCAAAGAAACAGGAAGCCCTGAATCTGAAACCACCTGAGAGTTCTGACCTGGACGGTCGGAGTTCAGCAGAAGGAGCTGATGTTTGTTTGGTTGGTGATGCAACCCGAGACAAGATCACAGCTTCTCTGGAAACGCTGCCCTTCCTCGTTCTGAACACGGCAAAAATGAAAGTCTGAACTCTCATTTCTCGACCACGTCAGCTGTTATTTCACCGACTTCCTCGTTTTGCTGAACTACAGACGATAACTTGGAAAGTCACGGAAACAAACTGTTTTATTTACAAGCTTTAGTTTTAAAAACAGGCCGAAACGGTTCCTAATGTCCACGTCAGTCATCTGTGTTTCACAAATAGGGATTCATTCTTTACCAATATTTAACTCCAAATTAGATTTTTTAAAATTAAATCAGCAAAAAATATTATTTCTAGCTATTTACTGATGATTAAAGGAAGAATTGTGCTTTTGAAAGATTGATTCTTTAGTTATCTCACAGATTTTCCCTGTTTTGCTAAATTACTGTTAATATTATAAAATAATAGAAATAAAACATTAATTTACACGTTAATGGTTAGAAAAAAAAATTAAAAGGTCAGAACTGTAAATAATGCAAAAATCTAAAATCTGTATTTTTTAAAGAATATTTTGTTGATGTACAACATTTAACTGTAAATTTACACACATTTTTCTGCATGAAATTATCAGACAACAGTCTGATATCTTACAGCTATTTAAAAGGAAAATTCTGCATTTAAAGGAATGAATCATAATCTTGGTTTTTTTTAATCTGTCGTTTTGTAAAAATTATAGAGAAAAAAAGTATTTATCTACAATCTGACTGGAAAAACAAAAAACCTGAAACAGGCCCAGACTGTGCACGATGTCCACATTAATGCTAGATGGATGTTTTGTTGTTTTACTCTAAAGAAAAAAACAGTTTTATTGTGTTTAAATCTGCTAAAAATCTGATTGTTTGACTGATAATTGCTGAAACTTTTCCCACCGGGTCGGTTGAGCCGCTGGCTGTGAACCTACCTGACATTCGTGCGGCTTCTCTCCGGTGTGCACCAGGTGATGCTTCTGCAGGTGAGCCAGCTGGGTGAAGCTCTTCTTGCACAGGTTACACTGGAAGGGCCTCTCGCCGCTGTGCACTCGGAGGTGGACCTGAAGCAAAGCAGAGTTCTGGTGTCACACTCTGAGATCTAAGACTGGGAACACATCGGGTCCGCTTACAGTCGGAGGAGCTGAAGTCGTACCTTGAGGTTGGAGAGCTGTCCGAAGGTCTTGGAGCAGATGTTGCACTCGTACTTGATCTTCCCGTTCTGCTTCTTCAGCGGGTACGGCAGCGACTTGTGGCCCGGCCCGTTGCGGGGCGCGGTGCCGGTTTTGGTGGTGGCCAGGCTCAGGTTCATGGCCTCCTCGCAGCCGGACGGCGAGTGCTCGGGCGACTCGCTGGGCTTGGCGGGAGGCGACAGCTCCGGGGTGGCCGGGGCTCCTCGGGGCGGCGAGACGTTGGGCGTCAGCTCCTTCAGGCCGCCCGGAGCAGACGGCGAGTAGGGCAGCGACACCGGGAGCAGGCTGGGAGGCCCGACGGGCGGGTACGGGAGTCCGTCCGAGCCCAGGTAGCTGCCGTATCGGAGGGAGCCTCTGGAGGGGAGCATCCCGGGAAACGGAGGGGAGTAGGACGGGAGCAGGAGGCGGGGGTAGTGAGGGCCGTAGGGGGGCAGGAACTGGTAGGCCGGCTGCAGGGGCCTGGACGGGGGGTAGAGCGGGTACGACGACACCAGGCCCTCCCGGTGGCCGTAGAGGCCGTGCAGGTGGAGCGGGAGGTTCCTGTGGTGAGCCGGGAGTCCGGGGTGGTGGTGCTCGTAGGGGTGGTTCAGGCCCAGGCCGGCCTCCCCGAGGTCGGGCCGCGGCGACGGGATCGTCCCCTCCCTCTCCTCCTCCTTCTCCACCTTGCGGCTGAAGTCCATGATCTGGTCGTCGGGCGTGTCGGGCGGAGTGTCCCGCTCCAGCATCTCCACGTCGATCTTCTCGTCGCCGTCGTCGTCCCGCTCCTCCTTCACCTCCTCCTTGGTTCTGTCGGCGAGCCACGTCTGCTGCCGGAGTTTGACGAACTCGGGCTGGTCGTCGTCGACGTGTTCTGAAAGGAACAAATGAAATGTTCAGTCTGACGGAGCAAAACTAAAACCTGATGACCAGGTGTGTTTACACTCATCCACAGAGCACCTGTGAACAGCAGCGGTCACAAGGTGCTCTCAGTTGATGGTGTTTAAATCGGCGTCACTTTACAGATATTTGCTGCTATTTTCACCATTTTATAACTGTTACGTAAATAGGTGAATAAATAAAGCGCAAATTAAATAATAAAATGAGAAAGTCAACTGGACAATAAAAAGAGATTCTAAATATAATAGTAATAATAATAGCAAATAAATAAAATAAATGGGTAAATAAAGCGTAAATAAATAAAAAAGAGAGAAATCAATTACATGATTAAAGAAATAATAATAGTAAATAAATAAAGATTAAAAGAATGAAATAAATAACAGAAAAAAATATACGATAAAAAAGGCAAAAAAAAATAATAGTAATAATACCAATGTGTGTGTGTGTGTGTGTGTGTGTGTGTGTGTCTAGGTGTGTGTTTGTGTGTGTGTGTGTGTGTGTGTGTGTGTCAGTGGATGCTGCTGTCGTGGATGAAGCAGCGTTCGGTACGACGCCCACGGCCGGCGCTCCCTCTGATGGTAAATGATAGTAGTTTCAGTTTTGAGGTGACTCGTAACTCGGCAGCTTTCTGTTTGTCTCTCGGTGGTGACTTTGAGGAGGAGGCTGAACGTGGGAGTCGGTGAGTCGCCTCCTGTGAGCAGCTGAGCAGGTCTGGGTTCAGTTTGTGAAACCTCTTCTGGGTACAGACGTCTTAGCGTTCTGACCGCAGAGAGAAAAACAGACGGCTCTTCCCTTTTTCATTCTCTCACAGTTGGCTGTTTGTGGCCCGTTTCCTGCAAACCCGACTTCATCTGTGCGTTTGCAGCTCTGACAGCCGAATCCAGGAGCGCTCAGAAGGCATCGCGCTGAGAGGAAACTCTCAGGATGTGATAAGAGCAGGTAGCGACACCCTGCCGAGCCTCGGATTAGTCACCGGGATGGTGACATGTTGTGCATCCAGTCGGCGTGAATCACCTGACGGCCGGGATGATGACTGGATGCTCCGCTAACAGAGAGCAGGTGACTCAGAGGAGAACTTTGACCGGCAGCGATCGACAACAAACATCCAGACGGAGGAATCGGACCAAAGATCTGCCAGAGATCTGAGTCGTCCTCGGCTTTGAAGCCAAAGAATTCTCCCGATAACAGAGATTCCTGTTTAGAGATCTGAATCTGACGTGTGGTTTTTGTTGTTCTTTTATCAGATCTCATAAGAAACAAAGAGAAGGATGTTTGTGAGTCACTGAGCTGCTACTCGTTTCCCTTTCACTTGTTTTTCTGAGGAGTTCAGGGATACTTCTTAATATCTGACTTCTACAAACTAAACCTGCCTCCAGATTCCCTGTGAAACACGTCCAGGTTACTGAACTCATTTCTGGTAAATGAAACTCAAATGTTTTGCTGAGCTTTTACAGCATTTTGACCAAAACTGATGAGTCGAATCAATAAAAAGCAAAGAGTTCAGTCGACTCATTAAATCCAGTTTATAGGAAGCACATGAGCAGATGTCCCAGGATGCACCGTCGGTAAACACAAAACTAAAACACTCACAACAAAAGGTGGTTCTGGATCAGTTCCTACATCTGTTTGTTGTGTTTATCTGTCTTTAAACCGACTCTGAGGTTTAGCTGAAGAAGGAAGTTTTAAAATGTAGAAAATATCAGAATAAACCACTTTTTATCTGATTCAGCTCCACATTGTGAGTTAATCAAACCCCACAACGAGCTCACTAGTCGCCTCGGGTCACCCTGCAAAGCCTCGGATCTGGTTCTGAGCTCCACTCACTGTGCTTGGCGTCGTCCTGCTGGCCGCAGAGCCTCTGGGCGAACTCCTGGCTGTACCACACCAGCAGCTCCTGCTTGGGCTCCACCGGCCGGATGGTGTAGAAGTAGACGTCGCGGCCGTTCTGGCAGGCCACCAGGTTCTGCTCGGCCAGCGAGCGGGCCGGGTTCACGTAGCGCATCCAGTTGCTCCTGTGGACGTCATAGCCGTCGATGAAGTTCTGAAGCTGGCCGCCGCTGTAAATCTGCAGGAGGAGGAGGAGGAGGAGGAGGAAGGGTTAGTGATGCAGCTGGAAAGGTTCTGATGTTGAAGCTGGAAAACTGGTTCGAATCTATTTAAAAATTCTGCAAAAAAAAAAGTCCAGAATGTGGAGCTGAGAGTGAGAATAGTCACCTCTGCCATGTACAAGAATGAACTCTCCAGTGACTCTGTGGGACTCTAGTCTGTGCCGTGTCCTGACTCTAGTCTGTACCGTGTCCTGACTCTAGTCTGTACCGTGTCCTGACTCTAGTCTCTGTCGTGTCCTGACTCTGTTTGCTGACTTGTTGCCCTGCAGCGGGTTTTATGCTGCGTGGAGGCGTGGCCCAGCTGACAGCTCTCACTTCCTTCTCTATACTCGAGGAGTGCGTGCCAGAGCGCTCAATTACCTTTAAAGAGAGAGGAGGCAAAAAAAGCCCTGGCGTGTGCTAACAAACGATGACGGAGGAGGACATGCCTCCGCTGGCCCGGCGCCCGGTCACGCCTTCGTCCTGATAACACAATCACACCCTGACTTTCACTACTGGGGCAGGAACACCCCCGACAGGTTTACAGGAAACGGAGCCGGAAGGAAAACCGCGTAGGCTGACGGCGACAGAAAAAGTCCTGTTGGGAATTGACTCAGCAGAATAGAAAATTTCCTGAGTGACAGAGAGAAAAGAGAAAGAGGCGTGAAGCTCGGGGAGGGTCGGAGCGTGAGAACCGAGCCGTCCTCCGGTGGTGCCGGTAAAGACCTTCGACACGCCGGCGGCTCCATGGTGACCAGACTTCCTCTAAAGTTTTGACCAAAAAGCCAAGAGCGATGTGCGTGAACGCGTTTCTGTTTTCTGGCTGACGTGTTGACCTGATGTGAAACTCATGCGTCCGAGCAACCAAGTATGTGTTTTTTTTTAACAGAGGAAGACGAAAACCTGAACAAACTGCTGCGCCGTCGCTTTCTCCCACATCGAGACTTCAAACTTTCCCATCACCTTGTCTGACCTACTTAAGGAACACATTTATACACATATATATGAAGTTATCCCCTTTATGTGTTAAATTATCTATTTAATTTGGCTTTTTTTTTTTTTTACCCCCAAAAAATGACAAATATTTTTAAAATAATTAATATAATTTAAAAATGCCAGCAGCTGTGTTGAACTAAATATTTTAAATTTGTAATTTAAGTGTTTTGTAAAAGTATTTCTTTGGGTAAAGGAGGCAGATAACAT